TGGATAACTGAGTCATACAAAAATACTTCAATTTTTTGTAATCGTGCACTAGAAAAGAAAAGTTTTCTGAACTAATGGTTTATTTTGATGCTAAAAGATCTTCAGTTAAATCTTCAATTCAAATTTTAAGGCTCAAACTTAACAGAAATAAAGCTGTGAAAATTCTTATTTTATGAAAGCTACTAATTATAAACTATTAAAGATAATTAAGACATGCAAGCTAATACTCACTTTATAAATGATCAAATCTTTAATGTGTTCGGAAATATAGTCATGCTAAGTACGAATTTAATGAGTTACAGGACTAGCTTTTTTTTTTATTTTCCAGTTTAAATTTAGATAAGAAACAAGGTTGCTTCACAAGTCAGTTCCAGGTCCCTCTTCCTTTCCCTCCCCTCCTCCCGTGCCCTCCCCCAACCCCCCCCGTTATCCCTCATTCCCCCAGGGAGGGTGAGGCCCTCCATGGGGGTGTCCATAGTCTGTCATTTCATATAGGGCAGGGCCTAGACCCTTCCCCAAGAGTTCAGGGTGAGAGTGCACCTCACATTGTTCTATGGGAGTCCAAAGTCCATGTGTATACTTGGGATGGGTACTGATCTGCTGCCCAAGGCTCAATAGATTACCTAGGCCTCCTCACTGACACCCAGATTCAGGGGGTCTTGATCAGTCCCATGCTGGATTCCCAGGCTGATGCCTGGGATTCAAGAGTTAACCTTTGTCTGGTCAGCTGTTTCTGGGGGTTAAACCAGCCCAGTCTTAATCCCTTTGATCATCAGTCCTCCCTCTCTGTTACTGGCTTTCTTGAGTTCAGCTCAGTGTTTAGCCATGGGAGTCTGCCTCTTCTTCGATCAGCCACTAAATGAAGTTTCTGTTTCCCAGACTCTCTGGCCATAGGATTGTAGGCTGGCACTCCCCAGATCTGTGTCTAAAATCCATATATGAGAGAGTACATGCCATGTTTCTCTTTTTGTGACTGGGTTACCTCACTCAGGATGGTTTCTTCTAGTGTCATCCATTTGCCTGCGAATCTCATGATTCCATTGTTTTTTTTTTTTTTTTTTCTGCTGACTAGTACTCCATTGTGTAAATGTACCACATTTTATCTATCCACTCTTCGGTTGAGGGACATCTAGGTTGCTTCCAAGTTCTGGCTATTACAAATAAAGCTGCTATGAACATAGTGGAACAGACATCTTTGTTGTATGAATGGGCATCTTTTGGATATATGCCTAAGAGTGGAGTTGCTGGGTCTTGTGGTAGGTTTATTCCCATTTTTCTGAGGAATCTCCATACTGATTTCCAAAGTGGCTGAACCAGTTGGCACTCCCACCAGCAATGGAGGAGTGTCCCTCTTTCACCACATCCTCTTCAGCATAAATTGTCACTGGTGTTTTTGATTTTAGCCATTCTGACAGGAGTGAGATGGTATCTCAGAGTTGTTTTGATTTGCATTTCCCGGATGGCTAAGGATGTTGAGCACTTTCTCAAGTGCCTCTCAGCAATTTTAGATTCCTCTATTGAAAACTCTCTATTTAGTTCTGCAGCCCACTTTTTAATTGGGTCCTTTGATGTTTTGGAGACTTGTTTCTTGAGTTCTTTGTAAATTTTGGAGATCAACCCTCTGTCAGATGTGGGATTAGTGAATATTTTTTCCCATTCTGTGGGCTGCCTTTTTGTCTTGCTGACTGTGTCCTTTGCCTTACAGAAGCTTCTCAGTTTCAGTAGGTCCCATTTATTAATTGTTGATCTCACTGTCTGTGCTACTGGTGTTATATTCAGGAAGCTGTCTCCTGTACCAATTCGTTCAAGGGTACCACCCACTTTCTCTTCTAAGAGGTTCAGTGTGGCTGGATTTATGTTGAGGTCTTTGATCCATTTGGACTTAAGTTTTGTGCATGGCGATAAACATGAATCGATCCGCATTCTTCTACATGCCAGTCTCCAGTTATGCCAGCACCATTTGTTGAAGATGCTTTCTTTATTCCATTGTATATTTTTAGCTTCTTTGTCAAAGATCAGATGTTCGTACGTGTGTGGGTTAATACCCGGGTTTTCAATTCGATTCCACTGGTCTACCTGTCTATTTTTGTGCCAATACCAAGCTGTTTTCAGGACTATAGCTCTAGAATAGAGCTTGAGGTCAGGGATGGTGATGCCTCCGGACGTTGCCTTGCTGAACAGGGTTGTTTTGGCTATCCTGGGTCTTTTGTTTTTCCATACAAAATTGATTATTGTTCTTTCAAGGTCTGTGAAGAATTGTGCTGGGATTTTAATGGGGATTGCATTGAATCTGTAGATTGCTTTTGGCAGGATTGCCATTTTTACTACATTGATCCTACCTATCCAAGAGCATGGGAGATCTTTCCAGGACTAGCTTTATTGAGCCTCCTGCATGTTCAAAGTTAGGCCTATTATAATAAGCACCTAAAACCAAGCAAAGTTTGTTTAGTTTACACATAATAGATAATGATCCTTAAAACTTCAGAGTTGAATATGGCATTTAAAGTGTTTAATGGATGGGAGGAGCAGGAAATGCCACAAAAAAGCTTCCCTCGATAGAGAAGAGTGCCAGCTCCTGGAAGCAGCCTAAAATCTCCCTTAAAGGAGACAGATGGGCACAGAAGATCTCTACCTGGAACTTTAAATGTGCAAAGCTGGCCACAGGGTGAAAAAGCTCACCTCCCCTGCTGCTGGGGACCCTGTCGGCACTGTGGACAAGTAGGACACTGGGGAGTTGATTGCTCCATTTTGCCTAGACAAGCAGGTATGTTGGTCCTCTCAAGTTCCTAGGCCACAGCAGTGTCTGATCTTCTAGGTCTGGCAGCCTAAGACTGATGCTGCCCTAGGACCTCTGCCCCCAGCAAAGTCAAGATACCATCGAGGAACCTAGGGTAATTGTCCAGGTAGCAAGCAAGTCCCTGTCATTTGTAACAGATTTGGGAGCTGCTTGGTCTACATCTCCTACTTGGATGAAATTCATCCTTCTCAGGTCTCTGGTGTTGATGACTAGGCTAATGATAGCTTTGTCAGTTTAGCAGCATCAACCAAGGCTTCTGCTGCCTTCTCAGTTCCCTTCATATGTAAAAATCAGCCCTTAATCCTCACTTTCTTAGAGCTACTCTAGGTCTGACACAGTTTACCTTGCAATCAGACTCTGAAAAGAGATACGCTCACAAAACAGATTTCAGTGTAATTTTTTGTATTATTCCTTTATTTAAAGGGACTCCTTTTACAATGACTGGTCTCTGTAATCAACCCCCTGTGTCTCTTGGTAAATGATTGGGTAGACAACAGTGTAAATTTATGTAAGGTCTTAGGATTTGAAAGCTTAAGTAAGTTGTAAGAATCAAAAAAAGTGTTTTGATATGTAAATGCAAGTTATAAAGTTCTAAGAAAGTTTTAAGGTGAGTAAATGCAATTTGTAAAGGTATGAGAAAATGATTTAAGGTATACATAAAAATGAAAATTGTTTCAGATTTCTTCCTTTTTCTATGCTATTGTTATATTAAGACTTAAAAAGTTCACAGTAGTCAATGGAGTTCTCATAAGCTATTAATCTAGTTCTGGTAAGAACTGACTACTATTATTATCATAGTCACAAGCTCAAGATTTTAAATTTCATTTAGGATTGTTTTCTAAGTACAGACTTAGACATGCTTCTCACTGTGATAAAAATATCTCTGTCCAATCAATATAGCTGGCCCTCTGGAAAGAGTGTAATGCTTTTACCCCAGAATCATTTTTGGGTCCCCAAGTTTCTACTGTGACTCAAAGGTATAAGTCCTGCTGCCTTTTCTACGATGTGGATTCCAGTACAGATTAAAAACAGTGGTAATGCTACCATATCCAAAACATCTTCTGTAAACTTAAAGCAAATTCTTGTAAGCTTCTTGGAGTTGACTTGAACTACTTCTCAAAGGTCAAATAAACTCTGGATAAATACTATCAATCAAGATCCTGTTTCCCTACCTGCCTCTTCTGCTTTTCTCTCCCATTTTCCTGGTCTTGGGACTCCCTTCCCCAACTACCATGGGCCTAAAATTTTCTCCTAAACTCCTTAAGTTTTCCTTCTGTCCCATATATATATTGAAAACTTCTCCCATGTGACCTGTACCTCCCTAGCATCAGATGGTCCTGCAGAGCCTAGTCAGCAAGTGAAACAGCCAACTTTTCTTGGTCTTGGCCAACATTCCTGCTTTCTTGGGTCCCCAAAGATTTCATAGCCCCCAAACAACAGGAAGCAGTCTAAAGAGCATGGCATCCTCATCAGTTACCACTTCCTGTTTCTTAACCTTCTATAATAAACAAAAGGGAGGAATATTAGGAACCATCCACATTCCAGAACAAGTTTCCTCCCCACCTTCCCACCCACATTCCAGAACTAGATTCCTTTTGCCTTCAATGACTCAGTGCCAGTGCCAAGTGATCACTAAAGGCCAGTGCCATGCTTCACACCCCCACCACCTTATAAAGCCTACATCACCCTGGCCTGCACTCTCTTATCCCCACTTAGAGTTGGCCCTTTTCTTCTCCCCTTCTGTAAAGAGAAGCCTTCCCACCAGCCTGGTTCCAGAGCCCCATGAGTCCCAAATAAACACACAGGAGGCTGTATTAATTATGAAGCTGTTGGTCTTGCTTGTTTCTTACTGGCTAGCTCTGACTTAAGTATTTTCCCATAATTGTTAATCTAAGTATTTCTCTTACCGGAGAACTTTTCGGGCTTCTTATCCCTATGGCAGTTACATCTTGTGGGTTTTTTTTTTGTTGTTTTTTTGGTTTTACAAGACAGGGTTTCTCTGTATTGTTTTCGAGGCTGTCGGTCCAGCCCGGCCTCGAACTCACAGAGATCCGCCTGCCTCTGCCTCCCGAGTGCTGGGATTAAAGGCGTGCGCCACCATCGCCCGGTGGCAGTTACATCTTGACTCCCCGTGTTTCTCCTTCCCAGAGTTCTCCTCGACTCCTAGTCCCACCTATCTTGCTTCCCTATTGGCCAACAGTGCTTTATTGACATATACACAGGACTTCCCCCATCACCCTTCCAATAAAACTCTTGTGTGAGGTCTGTTGTATGGTGTGATATTAGCAGCATTCCTTGGCCCCCGATCACCACAAAAACACTTACAGGCTTATTTTCACTCTCAGTTTGAAGATATAGTCCATCTTGGTGACAGGAATATAACACAGATGGTCACATTGCATGCATATTCTGGAAGCAGAGAGATACGAGTGATCTTCCCAGCCCACTTTGTCCTTCTTACTCACTCGAGGACTCTTGCTCATAGGATGGTGCTGTCACATTCAAATTGAGTCTTCTCATCTCAACTCAGTCTAGAAGCTCTCTCTCACAGGCATACTCAGATGTTTCCAAGGTGATTCTAAATCCAGACAAGTGAGTAATTCACAAAGAAAGGTAGTTAGATATCATCCCATGAGATCATGTCTAAGGAAGAAGAGACTGATGGAAAAGAAGCTGTGGGAGCTGGCCCATCCTACAGATGTTGAATGAATTGTCAACATTTGCTAATTCTTCAGCCATTTCAGGCTAGATGGCTGTTGATAGAATCAAATCATTGGGCTAGGACATCCCTTGGATAAACAGACTTCTCAAAAGACCCATAATGTTGGAGTAGAGAAGGAGGGGCTCAAAGTTATAGCTGTGAATCTCTGCTTCACAGCTGCTTGACCTTAGTCACAGTTACTGTACCTATCCAAGCCTCAGCCTGCTCATTGTAAGATGGTGCAATAAAGGCTTATTCCATGAAATTGCTATTATGCTTGAATTAGATGGGATGAGTGCTTCTCATGGACTAGAGGCTGAATAGACTGTAGCTGGGATTTCTATTAACTGAGGACTTCAGGGTTAGCATACTATTCTTCCTAAAGTGGAAAACAATGAGGGAGGTTAAGTTGGGTGAATGATTAGATGAAGGGTAAACATAAAATTTAAATGGGTAGAGATTATTTGAATGACATTAAACTGAGTTCAAGTTTGATATTGGTTTTATGCTATCAAGTGTATTATTATCCATCACACAGTGTTCTCCAAGCCTCTAACAGTACCACTATTCATACTTCCTTGGTAACAGCATTTGTTAATACACAGCTTTAAACTATGTCCATTGTAATTATCTTTTAAAGATTCTTGATGACAATCTTGATTTCAATATAAATTGTTGAATTGCTGCAGAAATCAATTTTTATGTTGATTTTTTTTCTTAAATTTATATCTTGGTTTTGGCTTGTCTTCAGTGTTTTGACAATTACTGAGACTTAGGAAGGTATTTCAGAAATCACCTCTCTGTGTTATAAACATAGCCCCTAGCCTTTTATTACTTACAGGACATCAAAGATTCTTTTGTTTCGCAAATGCAAGCATTTCTTAGATTGAGCAGTTTTCTTTTAGGAGAAACCTCTGACCTAGTAGATTGTTCTAAATTTCATAAATGTCCTAAAACACTTTAAAAGTAGTAGTATTAGAGAGGTGTGTCTGGTGGTAAATGGCTTCTTGTGCATGTGTGAAGACCTGAGTTTGGATTCTCCATAACCCACAAAAATCTGGCCACAGTGCTATAAGATTATAACCCCAGTTCTGGGCCTCATTGCCTAGCTAGTCTACCTGAAACAGGGTTACTGGGAGACACTCTCTCAAGAAAAAAAATGGAGGTAGAAAACGATTCCCAACATTGACTTCCTACTTCCACATGCATGGCATGGGCAAGTGCACCCACAAATGCATGGGCAAACCTATCCGTACACTACACGTCTTTAAAACTCAGAAGGAGATATAGAAGGTTAGGATAGTTTCACATAGTTAGGTACCATCCTGAACCATGTAGATGGCATTCTAAGTGGTCAGAGGATGATCCTATTTCTAAAATGGTAAGAGATACGGAGGTGACATGGTATTATTTTTTAATCTTTAAAATTTTTATTTATTATTGTTGATGGGTGTGTGCATGTGTTCATGCTTGTGTGTGTGTGTGTGTGTGTGAGTGTGATGTGATTTTACGCACAGGTGTTATGCTTCCCAAGTGGAGGTCAGAGGACAGCTTTCAGAAGCCTATTTCCTCTTCCTACCATGGGACCTGGGGAGATCAAACACCAGACTTGTGGAGCAAGTCCTTTACCTAGTGAGCCATCTTGCCACTCCTCAGCTTGTTTTTCCTCCCAATAATTACCACAGATGAGACAGATATAAAGAAAAAATTCATTTTGCTCATAGTTCTGCTCCAGTAGTGAAGGGCTACATCTGATTATTCTCATAAAAGCAAAATACTGAGACCATTAGATTGGAAGACCAGCAGTGCAAAAGAGATGTGGGCAAGCTGGTTTTTACACTAGACTCACTCTCTGGAACCCTTAAGTCGATGCATGTATCCCTGGTCCATGAATCACACAAAGGGACTAATCTAAACATGAGATCAGAGGCCTCATCATTTTTTTAATTTTAAAACAATCTTTTCTGTTTTTACATACCAGTTCCAGTTCTCACTCCTTCCTCTCCTCCTGCACCCCCTACCTTCCCCCCATCTCACCCCAAACCACTTCTTAGAGAGGTAAGGCTTTCCATGGGGGAATCAACAAAGTCTGGCACATCACTTTGAGGCAGGACCAAGGCCCTCCCCCCTTTATCTAGGTTGAGCAAGGTATCCCTTTAAAGAGAATGGTTTCCAAAAAGCCAGATCAAGCACTAGGGATAAATACTGGTCCTACAGCCAGTGTCCCCACAGACTGACTGCCCAAGCCACACAACTGTCACCTACATTGAGAGGGTCTAGTGTGGTCCTATGCAGGTTCTCCTGATGTCAGTGAGCTCCCACTAAACTCAGGTCAGTTGTTTCTGTGAGTTTCCCCAAAATGGCCTTGAGGGGGTCATTATGGGGCTATTGAGAAACATGGCACTAGGAATTCCCAGGAATCCACGAGGATTATCCTCAGCTAAGACCCTATGCATTAGTGGAGAGGGTGCCTCAACTGGCCTTCCACTGTAATCAGATTGATGACTCCCTGAATTATCATCATAGAACCAGCAATTGATGGAAGCAGAGATCCACAGCTAAGCACTGGGCCCAACCTCCAGTGTCTAGTTGAAGAGAGGGAGGAGTGACATTATGAGCTAGGTCATTCTTAAGAGCCACAGAGTGACCCAATTTTAAAACTTTTCATACTAAAGATTGAGTCTCAACACGAATTTCAATAATAGCAGGAGAAAAGGGGAAGAAAATTACAAAATCTGAAACTCCCTAATACTTTGAACTGAAGTTGTTTAAGAGTCTGATGTTGTAGAAAGTATTTGCTTAAATCTTGTAGCAAATGAAGCAGACAGTCGTGGAAGTATCAGTTTGCACAGGCCTGATAGCCACTGCCAACCTCCTTTCCACCTGTTTGTCCCCTCCTCTTCCTCCTCCTCCTAGCCCTCTCCTCCTCCTCCTCCTCCTCCTCCTTGTCCTCTCCTCCTCCTTGTCCTCTCCTCCTCCTCCTTCTCCTCTTCCTTTCCTCCTCCCCTCTCCTGTGTCTTGTTTTACCTTCTGTGTCTTCTTCCTTTCCCTCCTCTTAATTCTGAGCATTTAACCATTTTCCTTATGTGAATGCCCACAAGCATGCTTGCCTACAATGAATACACGGTTTCCTTTTGTAGTTTTAGAACACTCCTTTCTAGGCTCTCTTGTCTGTCTCCCTCCTACCTTGTCAAGTCAGGTAGACCTCTGCCATTAATTTTCCTCATACTCTGTAATTATAAACAAACCAACATAGACATACACATGCCTGCGCAAGGAAACAAATTAGGGAAATGTTTCAGTATTTAAAAATGGGATGGTAAGATTCTGACTTTTTCTCAACCGTTTTCTTTCCCACTTACAGAAATCTTAAGGAAGATTTTCCAAGTGTGGGTCAAATTCTGTCTTATTCTTTTAAATGATGCACAGTATTTCATGATATAACCAACTCAACAAACTGGTGCTCACCCATGTGCTTGCAGTGTGGACTATTTTCTATAATGCTGCAGCAAGCATGCTTGCATACATATCTAGTTATGATGCCTGTGTCCCTATGTAATGCCCAGTGTATTGTATTCTATGTGCTGAGTAGCACTGCTAGGGCCAGGGATGTGAAGTACATTAACTTGTAATAGATGTTAAACTATTAAGTCTGTTGTTTTGCCCTGCCAGGCAGCAGTCTCTTGTTCTCCTAACTCTTGTCAGTGTTGGGTTTTTATTTTACTTTAGTTTTTTTGTCAAATACGATCTCTCGTTGTTACTGTTTGCATTTATTTGACTACTAATGAATGTGAACATCTTGTCATGTGTTTGGTGGCTGCTTGGATACACTCTTCTGTGAATTGCCTATTTGCATGCTTCGCCCATGTCAGGCATTAATTCCTAAGAGCCTTTTGTGTGTTATAAATAATAATTTGATGATGTTCCAATGTGTAATGTGAGTTCCACAAAGCACTGTTCGTTTCGTGTCTGACTTTTGTTTGTGATACTTCCTTTCTAGTTAAAGGTTGTCTAATATTTTCCCACCCTCGCATCCTTCTCTCTTCCTTCCTTTTGCCCTTCCTGATTTCTTGTTGTTGTTGATTTCTTTAAATTTTGTTTTTTCTTACTTATTGAGATTTTCTCTGTATCTAGATTTTATATGTAGTGTCTTCAACTTTCTTCCTGAAAGGTGGAGGTTTCTGTTCTACCTGGTCCCTCAGCCGATTAGCCCCAAATAAGCACACAGCGACATATTAATTTAAAAACTGTTTGGCCGATGGCTAGGGATTCTTACTGGCTAGCTCTCTCTTAATTATTAACCCATTTCTATTCATCTAAGTATTTCCACGTGGTCTTATCTTACTGGAGAAGGGTTCAGATCTCTTACTCCTTTCTCGGTTACGTGGTATCTCTTCGGCAGCCTCTCTGTGCCCCTCTCCCCAACCTTCTCCTCCTCTGGTAGCCCCACCTATACGTCCTGCCTGGCTACTGATCAATTAGTGTTTTGTTCATCAACCAATAAGAGAAACAGATAAACAGAAGGACATCCCCCATCATCTTCTCATTTTCAATTTCTTTTGTTTTAACTGGTTTTAGAATTAAAATATACCCCTGGAGTTTGTTTCGCATATATTGCAAATAAAAGCCCCACATTGTTTTCTCATCAATACTGTGCCAGTATTCTTCATTAACTAACCAGGTCTTTACCCACAACATTGGTATCTCCTTTTGCCACACACACCCTAGGATCTATTTCTGGATTTCTATTTTATTGCAATGATTTATTATATTTACATTTTATTTTATTTGAGACAAGATCTCACTGTATATCTCTGCCTGGCTGGCCTGAAAGTTGCTATGCTGACTAGGCTGTCCTTGAACTCACAGAGATCCACCTGCTTTTGCCTTCCAAGTACTGCGAATAAAGGTGTGCACCACCACCCTCAGCTGGTTTATTATTTCAATCTGCTTCTATATCCATACCACTCAGACCTCACCTCATTACAATAAATTTATAGTCTCTTACCAATTAACTGTAAATTAATTAACTGTAATTAATTAAAAAAACAGGTACTTACCCCTCACTCCTGTAGAATAGAAGTGGAAAAATTTCAGGGGAGAGGCCGAATGACTTATGCTTTCCCATTATCTTAGTTACTGTTCCATTCCTGCAAAGAGACACCATGGCGGAGGTAATTTATAGAAAAAGCCTTTTTGCTTACCATTTCAGAGGTGAGTCTGTGATCATTACAGTGAGAAGCATGGTGGCAGGTTGGCGTGGTACTGGAGCAGCTCACATCTGATTCACAAGTCAAAGGCAAAGAGGGCTAGACTGGGCTTGGCATGGATGGCCCTTTAAAACCTCAGAGTCACCCCAAATGGCACACCTCCTCTAACAGATTACACTTCCTAATTTTTCCTGAATAGTCTACCAAGCAGGAACAAAACATCTATCTATCTATCTATCTATCTATCTATCTATCTATCTATCTATCTATCTATACATATATTAAGATTATTCTCATTCAAACCACCAGATTTTGATCTACCTCCCTTTGAGAAATCAGGAGGGTTGTGGGGAAGTGGCTTTGTTTCCAGGCTTGGGAGTGGTTGTCTTCTCTTTTCTTCCCATTCCACCAGCGCTTACATGGTATTCCTTATGTTAACAGGAAGCTGAGGAGCACAAGCAATTGTGAGTGCAATAGGAAAGAGTGGTTTTGGAGACCAAATAGTCTCTGCCATTTAGTCCTCCTCTGTTCTCTGAGATTTTCTGCGTTTTTCACACTGGCAGTATTTGTTCTATGTGTATTCTCTGATACACAGTGAGGCCTGACTCATGGCAGAAGGGTTTCTCACACACACCACATGCTTAGGGTCCTCCCCCCCCCCCGCTGTGTGTTCTGTAAGGCACTGAGCAGTATGATTTGCTAAAGAAGGTTTTCTCACATTCACCATGGTTGTAGGATTTCTCTCCTGTGTGCACTTATTGATGTTTAGTGGATTTAGGTTTTTTTCTGGAAAGTTTTACCACACACATTATATTTACCAAATTTCTCTTTGGGGTGAACTTTTGAGTGTGACTGGGGTATAGTTTCACGTTCAAATGATTCCCATTTTGGTCACATTGAGGGCACTCTTCTCCAAATGAGCTCTGTGAAGATCCTGGGGTCAGTTCTTCCCCAACAGTCTCCTCTGAGCCTTACGATCATTTCTCCTACCTGAGTCATCCGTTTGGCAGCCAAAACTCTCAACGCAGCCCTTCCCACTCACATCATCCTAAGATCACCCCCAGGAGCCCTCACCTGTGTGGAACAGCCTCTGTTAGCGGCTTTTCCTTCTCCACTGTTTTCGAAATGCTGCTTACCAATTTCAGTTTTATGGTTGCCAAGATGGGGGCCATCTGAGGGATTTCCCTCTCTTTTGAATGTCATTACATTCACCAAAGGCACATTTTAACATCGGCAGAACCTCTCAGATTCCTTTCAGAATAAATTTTATGATTTACGATCAGCTTTGAAATATGGTGCTAGCCCTTGTTTTAATGCTTTTTTTCCTTTCATGCCTCTCCTTAAAAAGTTTTTTAAAATTTATTTTAGTGCATGCCAAAACAGGAACACGCATTCACACATATGCACATATACGGGCACGGGCATGGTTATCAGAGGACAACTTTATTGAGCCATTTCTTCTACCTTGTTGAGTCAGGGGCTTTCTTGTTTTTGCAACACAGCATATTTCAAGATAGCCAAACAAGAACTTTTAATTAATTCATCCATTTTCACCTCTTACATTGCCATTGGGATTACAGATGTATGCCACCAACAGCCCACTTCTTATGTGTAGGCCATGGCCTTGAGATTATCCTGTCCATAGTTCTGCTCCTCATTCCAGTCTGAAGATTCCCACAGGTCTGGAATGAAGTTCCCTGGAAGCAGATCTCTTCTCACATCTTTCCCAGCTCAGAAGTCTTTATCTGGTTCATAAATGGGAAGACCACATGATGTACATTTCACATCTGGGAATATCTTGTATACAAATGAATGCAAACCTGTGTTCTGAGGTGATCTGTCTGTCCCTCTGTGTTTGCTTCAGCATTACCCACAGTAATCAAGATTTAGAAGCAACCCAGAGAGGCAAGAAACGAAACCACCGGTGGTCAACATCTCACATCGTCATGACCATCCTTGAATAGTAGGTTTGAAGTCATTCCATGCCCCCTGGGAGAACTCTATAACATCCAAATATCACTGCCCTGAGGGGCAGATCTCACAGAAAGGGCTGAGGACCAAAGACAAGTAAATGACAGAATGGTCCTTCAGCAGCTCCTTACCCAGGGTGCACAGGGCTGTAAGTTCCCTCTGTGCTGGTGGAGAACCCCCGGGATGAGATGGAGCCACTGTCCCAGCACCCGTGTGGGTGGCAGAGGTGGTGGAGGGTTATCATTAGGTTATAAAATTACTCTTTGGGAACTACTCTTGATATTTATTTTTACATGATGAATAAGATAACTATGTTGATAAAAATATTTTGGGACACTAGTTAGAATTGCGTTGATTTATTTATTACTTTAGGGAGAATTGGCATTTGTTTATATTTATTGTAGTACTGTGAATTGATCCTAATGACAAAGCTATCTATCTCTGGGCTATATCCCCAAGCCTGCAATAATAATAGACATTTACTTTTTTTCCTGTTTTTAAAAATTATTTCTCCATTCTTATATTGTGACTATGGTTTTTGTCATTTTTGTGACTGTAGTATATTCCATTTTCATTTGTATGTGTGAAAAAACTACTGATTTAAAGTATGTATTTCATGAACAGCCAGTAAATTGTATCAGTGAGTCTACTGGCCATGTTTGCCATTCATTCAACAACTGCATGTTGAACAGTCTGCCAAGTGCTAGAAATGCAGCAGGTGGAAAAACACACAAAACACCCTGTCCTAGTAGAGCTCACATGTAATGTGTAAAATAACGAAAGAGACAATATAATTTCATCTAGCAACAGTGAGACATAAAGCAGGCTGGTGGAACAAATATTTTCTGTTACTTAATTACATACCTCAGGATAAGACATAATGATGGTCAATCAAGATGCTAATTCTTTATCAGAAACAGAAGCACATATATCTACAGTCACCTTTTTGGACACTAAGACAGGAATCTCATAAGTTTGAGGTTGGCCTCAGATGCAGAGGGAGAGGGAGAGAGCTCTTGGGGGGAAAACCAATTCATTTAAACCTATTCTCAATTCTTGGCATCACTCTAAGAAGTTTCCAGTTTACCTCAGTTCCTTCTTCTTTATGGTGTACCACACATTCAGAGAATTTGGGTGCTCCAAGATGAGTCTGTTAATTTATGAGTGAGGCATATAAAAACATTTCTGTGTTGCCATTTGGATCTCAGAAAGAAAGATAGTAAGCAATAACACTGTTATTTATACACAGAAACAGTTGTGTCAATACCACAGCTTTTATGGATATTTACTGAAAGAATGCCAAGGTCTTTGTTAAAGTCTAAATAAATTGTCATTACTCAGGTATCCTCTTGTTAGTTCTGTCCAAAAGATGTGATATGACCTGGTGTGGTTCAGACTCTGGCAAATGTAGACTAATAACTTAGTTTCATGTCCTTCCTAAGATAGACACATTAATTTCTTTGTTGTATTTTCAAATGATTTTTGAGATACCAACATACAAGCCATTTCTCTCCTCTGGAACTGGACTCATATTATTCTATAGCTCAGGAATTATTCTTTTGATGACCATAATAAATCAAAAATATCTTTTCCAATAATTTGCTGGCTCATAATCCTGGTAATACTGTTAATCTTTATTATTGCCTGTCTAGACCTTCACATCCTGGAGTTAGTTATAAGGCAGCTGAATTGTACATTAATCCCATTCTAGTTTGCGTTGAAGCTTATTGACTCAAGTTTATAAAGTAATTTCTGTTTATGTGCCATAGCACAAAATATGCAGAATTGTTTTATGCACATAATTGATGACTGATAAAATATTAGCTCCAGAAATTATTGGTTGCATGTACATAATTGATGAGCCACAAAGTATTTTTAAAAATGTTATAGCTGTAACCCTTGTGAGAGATAGAATAGGGGTAACTTGTGTAGTAGACAGAAGTGCACAGCATGTCAGGTAGCCATGCTAATTTTGAGTGAGGGACACTCAAAGAGGAAGTCATATCTGTGCACATGTTTTCAGTCTTCCCATGTTACAATGAATCACCTATGTGTTATTTTAATGCTTTCAGGTTTATTTTTTCTCTTGGCACTATGAGATTATATCATCTAGATACTGTATATTTGAAAAAAAATGAATTATGTTTTGGTTTGCTGTTTCTGGTCACTCCCCACCACTGAATCCTGTGGGGGAACCAACATACTCACCGTGCTTCATGAGTATTATTCTGATGTAAGTTGGGAGGGTCAAGCCTCCTTAGACTGTTCTGGGTGGAGTTGTGCCCATCTCCTGGAGTGTGCTACATAAAGATGAAACTTTTAATGTGGTTTTCTTGTCACAAAACATGCTAATTCAGGGTTATCAGTTTGAGGCTTGAACATCTGAGAATTAACACCTGAGGCACGTCCTATGAGAAGTAAGACAGTTTGTGATGGATTAATGCTAGCTCCTGGGAGCCAGTAAGTTTCTTCTTATGGGGCATAGTAGTGAACATTAGCTGGCCAGTCTGATTCCATCTTCTATTTCAGAATGCTCAAGCCAGGGGACTAGAATGTCTCATTTCATTATGACATTGTTTCCAGGTAATAGGAGGAATGCCTTTGGGCTTAGGACTTAATTCTTTAAGAAGGTGTTTTGAAGATGTGGAATGAATCCAGCAGGTGTTTCTCTCATTGTAGCCATGCTTGAATATGTTTTTTCTTTGCTTCTTTGAAAATGATCGGAAATATTTTGTCTTTTGAAAGGTAAGTTTCATATCTAAGGCAGTGCCAAGAAAGTCCTTTTGACACTTGGAAGAACATGGTAGTAAACATGATGGATATCATTTTAGGCAGAAGGAGGGCAGACATTTAGGATTTGAGAACAGACACCGGCTGAACAGCTCCATTTGCATATGACACCATTTAGGACAGTCAAACTAATGAATGAATGTCACTGCTAATGACAGGTCAAGTGTCAGGTACTACACACACACACACACACACACACACACACACCATGTACTGTATATGTAAGGATTCAGGCATTATGCTGGCCTTCCCATGTCACCTGGAAGAATGCACTCAGGCAGTTCCCTGGTCAGCCCAGGGTTGCACGGAGTCTGCAGACAGGTGCAAATGACTCCTTTAAAAGAAAGACTCCACCCACTTAACTGTCTTTTTGCCTGCTCATCTCTTTCTGCTCTCTTCTCTTTCCTGCTTCTCTCTTTCCACTCGCTCTTTCCCGCTCTCCTCTCTTTCCTGCTGTTTCCCTGTGGCAGACCGGACTTTTCCTGTCTCCCTCTTATCTGTCTTCTCTCTCTCCATCTCTGTGTCTCTTTACCTCTTCCCTTACCCCTTCCATCTCTGTTCCCAGTTGGCCAACACCTACCTCTCCCTTCACTCCCTTTCCCAATAGCTCCACGTGGGTTTGTTGAGTTTTGTGGTTTGTGTTTCATTACCCACAGCTGCAGCAAAAGAACAACAGTATAACACTGTGTGTGTGTGTGTGTGTGTGTGTGTGTGTGTGTGTAGCAAATTTGAGAGGTGGTATAATAATCTCAATTTCACAGGTGAGGAAATGGAATATAGAACAGCTACGTTATTTGTCTAAAGATAATCCTCTATTAAGTTGTTGTCTGATTGTAGCCTATGGCAGCGGAGCTCTGAAACACATGAACTATTAAGTCCAATGTTATACTAATAGCATAGGTGGGCTTACCAGAGACTAATCCTTATTGTTTGTGCTTGAACTTGCTAAGCTAGGAGCTTGTTCTAGGCAGTAATTAATAAGTAATTCATAAGAACATATTCAAAAGCAGCATTTATTCAGATACTTAAATTGTATGTAATAAAAATGAACATTAAAAAAACCAATTGCTTATTTCCCTGCTTTTTAAAATTGCCATACTTTGTGTGAAGCAGAAATTCTTTGTAGAGTTCAAATGGTTTGGGAGACACAGTTTTGAAGAGAAGAGAGAATTTCATTTGACCACCAGATGGCAGCAATGTAGGATTTTGAAAGTCTTGAGTGTAGATGTCTTCAAAGACTAGATATTAAAACTTCATTAATTCAGCTTGTCCTTTATGGAAACACAGCTTTACATATCTTGGGAGAAAAGTGAACTTCATGTTTACATAGAGAAAATGAGCTTAACCTCAGAATTACTGGGGATCTGTTTTAATGGGATTTTAATATATTTCTAGATGTGTTTATAAAACTAGATATTTTAAAAAGAACCTACCATGCTACTCATAGTGTGACAGACATGTTTCAAGGAGAAATGTCTTCTTTTTGTCCTGTTGTAAGACAGACAAAACCCAAACTTATTGTGCTGTATCAGCAGTAGTAACATTGTACTATACCAGCAATTCTTAACCTGTTGGTGGTGATACCTTTTGGGGGTGCATATCAGATATTTGAATTATGATTCATAACAGTATCAAAATTACAGTTATGAAGTAACAATGAAATCACTTCCTGGCTGGGGCACTGCAGAACATGAGGAACTGTATTAAAGGGTTGCAGCCCTAGGAAGGTTGAAAACCATTGCTCTAGACTATGAACTTTGTGGTCACTGCCATACATCTTTAAAACAATTTAATTTTAATGTTTTAGTTGTGTGTGTGTGTGTGTGTGTGTGTGTGTGTGTGTGTGTGTGTGCATGGGAGTTTATGCACTTGATTAGAGTGCCAGGGAGACCAGGAAAGGGTGTTATTCTTTGGAGCTGGAGTTTCAGGCAGCTGTGTACGACCTGAGATGGGTTCAGTGAATTTAGCTTGTGTCCCTAACAGTCATCTTAACTGATGAGCCATCTCTCCATCCCCGATTGCCAAGCATTTTAATAGCATAGTATATTATTTAGATTGTTCTCTCCAAGTTAGTTCAAATTGGTGTTCATTGTATTATACGTCTCAACACTATATCCAAATTTGATAGTGATGTGATACTGATAACAATATATTCCTTCCACAAATTCTGATGAGTCAGTCAAATATTTTCCTACAGACTACTTCATTTTACCGTTAAAAGTTAGTAGATTGGTTGACATATGAATTGGGAAAGGAATTAGAGAATCACTTTCATAAGTATTTCTCTAATTTACTTTCATAACTGATTTTTTGGTGGAAATATCACTGTAATCTATTATGAAGCTCCAAGTTAGTGATGGACAGACTCTTGTTACTACTAAACCTGGCAGGACAATTTGAAAGATGGTTTGGGATAATTGTCTCAAGGGGACACTTGAGACAGTCACTTGGCTGTCACTATGGCTGTCATTGGTTGTTGGACTTCCTAGCCCATGATAATGGGCTAGGTCATCTCACTTTTTCACCTCCAGACACTGATGACTTTGTAGATGTCCCTTCTGACAAACAGAACCAGCATATTCAAAACAAAATCACCACCACCACCAAAAGCAGCAAATCATGGTGTGAAAACCAATGTTTAATTCTACAGAGGTTTAGCTTTAGGGGACTGTCCTGGGAAATCTGTCTGCTGAGACTTAGTATATCCTTCAGTGTCATCATTACTGAGCTTTTGTAACATTACAGAAAGCAATCTTTGCAAGTTCAAGCACAAACAATAAGGATTAGTCTCTGGTAAGCCCACCTATGCTATTAGTATAACATTGGACTTAATAGTTCATGTGTTTCAGAGCTCCACTGCCATAGGCTACCATCAGACAACAACTTTAGACAAATAACGTAGCTGTTCTATACTCCATTTCCTTACCTGTGAAATTGAGATAATTATACCACCTCTCAAATTTGCTACACACACACACACACACACACACACACACACACACACACGGTATTATACTGTTTTTCTTTTGCTGTAGCTGTGGGTAATGAAACACAAACCACAAAACTCAACACGTGGAGCTATTGGCAAAGGGAGTGAAGGGAGAGGTAGGTGTTGGCCAACTGGGAACAGAGATGGAAGGAGCAAGGGAAGAGGTAAAGAGACACAGAGATGGAGAGAGAGAAGACAGATAAGAGGGAGACAGGAAAAGTCCGGTCTGCCACAGGGAAACAGCAGGAAAAAGAGGAGAGCGGGAAAGAGCGAGTGGAAAGAGAGAAGCAGGAAAGAGAAGAGAGCAGAAAGAGATGAGCAGGCAAAAAGACAGTTAAGTGGGTGGAGTCTTTAAAGGGGTCCTTTGTACCTACCTGCAGACTCCGTGGAACCCTGGGCTGACCAGGGTACTGCCTGAGTGCGTTCTTCCAGGTGACATGGGAAGGCCAGCATAATGCCTGAATCCTTACATATACAGTACATGGTGTGTGTGTGTGTGTGTGTGTGTGTGTGTGTGTGTGTGGTATGTGACACTTGTCCTGTCATTAGTAGTGGGCTACTGAGGGAGACAACGTGATGCAGAGAAGGAGACAGAGTGGGAGGGCTGAAGTGGTTGAGTTCAAGAGTGAGAACCACCGAGTTTCTAGCTCAGTGGAAGAGTGCTTGCTTAGCGTGCTAAGACCCTGCATTCAACGCCCACACCTTAAGGAAACAAACCCAGAACAGAAGAGGTAAAACAGAGAGGGGACCCAGGGGAGAACAAGAGGTGGGAACAGGAGCCTAAGTGCACCCCCCCCACAAGAACTAGAACTACAATGTAAGTTACTATTCTTTGAGTAATATGATTATTTTACAATTTATGTGTGAGTCAGAAGAATACATAATAAATCAGATTATAGTAATGGTGAAGTCTCTACCCTGAGACCCTTCCCATCAAAAATATAAAGAAAGCAAGGAGGAAAGCTGAAGCAGAAACTGAGGAGGCTGGGCATGCTATGGAAAGTGTCAGGCAGTGTGTGGGCTGCTCGGAATCTAAAGGGGTGCAAAAGGAAAGACCGTGGTAGAGAGAACACAGAAAAAAAGGAGACAGTGGTCCGGGGAAGGGGGAGGCATACATCGCTTGTCCTCTGGGCTCCATCACGTGGGCCGATGTTTATCAGCTGCTCCTTGTTAACGTGACCTTGAGCAGGTACTTGGTACCAGGTTAGCTGGGCGTGGGGTCCCTGAGATGAGATTGGGTGGGCATTCTAGCTCACCCCTGAAAATGATTAAATCAGGATCCCTAATCAAAACATTTTTTCAGCTACTAGAGTAATTTTTTACATTTAATATTTTTTGATTGACACATATTAATATCTGCATATATTTATGAGATGTGATATGATGGTTTTGTTCCTGTACACATTGAGGGGTGACCCCAAGGGAAATTAGTATATCCATCTTCTTAAACTATTAATGTCTCTCCTAGTAGTGTTCTCTCATTCCTCTCCTCAAGCTAATTTGCAGTCTACAGAGCATTTTGTTTAATCTAGTTCACCTTGCTTTGCCAAAGCTCATTTTCTGTCATACATTAATACTGACCGCACTTCTATGAGATTAACTTTTCTGGCCCCTATTTACAAGTGAGGTCATGATTTTTGAAGATGAATCCGAGTAGAGTCAGGCCACCGGCACGGTGCGGTTATATGCACACAACGCACACGTCAGCTTGCGTTGTTATCATTCTCATTCGCTT